TGAACGCTTCAGGACGTGCAAACCTGAAACCGATTGTTTTATTTTTGTAGGTCGTGGATTAATCACATGTCATCTGTCATCACCGATGACGAACAACCTGATGACGTCACGAGTGCAGAAGGTTTTCTAACACGTCACGAGGAACACAAAGCAGAGATAGACACGCGGCAAAAGAGCGTCAACGAGTTCTACGAAGCCGCTGATACCCTCATTGCGGACGGTCATTCTGCATCCGCTGATGTCAAGGAGAAAAAGCAGCGGTTGCACACAGCGTGGCTAGCTTTGCAAGCAACGTGGAGTGAAAAAGGTGATGAGTTAGAACAAGCTAAGGAGGTGCAAGTGTTTAAACGGGATGCTGACCAATTAGAAGCCTGGCTGAATGCACGTGACCTTGATCAGGAGTCCGGTGACGTAGGCGATTCGTTGGATGCGGTGGAAGAATTACTGAAGAAACACGAGGAGTTTGAGAACATGCTCCTTGCTCAAGAGATGAAATTATTGGGAATTACAAAACTGACGCAGCAGGAGCAAGGAATAAATAAACAGAGGGAGGAAGAGAATGAGCTGAGAGAAGAAGAAGAGAGAAGAAACAGAGAGGAGGAGGAAGAAAGGCTAGAAGAGGAACTCAGGGAAAGAAAAAGACTGGAGGAGATAAGGCAAAAACAAGAGGATGAAAGGAAGGAAAGAGAAAGAAAACAATGGGAGGAAAGAGAAAAGATAAGGGCCAAGGAAGAAAAGACAAGAGCGGAAGCAAAAGCGAAGCAAGAGGAGAACAGGAAACGGCAGGAAGCCGAAAGACAGCAGGTCATGTTAGAAGAACAAAGGAGGCGAGAAGAACAGAAAAATACACGTGAAATCTACGACAGAAATAAAAATGGCGTCACTTCCGCCAGCAGTCCTCGGGATCAGCGGAAGGCCTCGGTGTCGTCAACTTTAGAAGGTATCTTGCAGCGCAAACAGGAACTTGAATCTGGTGGGAAAAGGGCGCATGTCCGCGCATGGAAGACGCTGTACGCGGTGTTACGCGGGCACCAACTTTTCTTTTACCGCGAGAAGAAGGACGCGCAAAGTACAAACTACGCGGCTCCTCCTATTGACTTGAAAGATGGCTTTTGCGAAGACGCCAGTGATGTCGCCAGACGAAAGAACGCTTTCAGAGTGCTTTGTGACGACGATTCCGATTTTCTCTTTGTTGCCAAAGATCCTTCTGATCTAAAGCGCTGGATGGGAAACATTTGTGAGGCCGCTGGCCAAACTGATCTCCCCAGTCCACCTCCTCCACCTCAGGCTGCACGGTTACCGAGCCCGAAGACGTCACCGCGCACGCCTCGCGAGGAAACTGGCGGCACTCCTAAGCTAGCAAAGCCTTACGGGCGAACTCCGAAACCTCTTATCACCGTCACGAGTTTTGATGATGACGAGGATGTCCTTATTGATCCCCCTCCCCCTCCCCCTGTTAATATCCCCCCTCCGTCAATTCCGTCGGACTTTTCAAACGATGACCTTTTGGAAAGTGATCTTGAAGATGAAAATAACTTAGTCGCGGATAGTGGTAGTCTTCCATTGGTGCCTGACAGCCCCCCAGCAGTACCTCCCCCGGATTTTGCCGACTTCGATGACCCTTGCGATAGTGACGACCTCCCTGTTTTGCCAACATCGCCGCCTCCGGAATTCCTTTCTGATGACGAAAATGGCTTTGACAATGACATGGAGGATTCCTCTTTTGCCTATGTCCCTACAGCATTTGATCACCCCATCCCTCCCCCCAGGAGCAAAACTAAACCGACTCCTCCCCCTGTGGCGCCCAAACCGGAGGGGCGTCTACGATCAGACTCCGGGGAATCTTTAGACTCGGCGGGAAAAGGTCCCAAACCACCGGTCAAACCCAAACCCACGGTAGACAGAGCAAATCTAGCTGGTCAGCGGTCAACGGATAGTAGACATGCGCAAGGTACAGAAAAGTTGCGGTCAGCGGTGGACAGTCCAGAGTCTGCGCATGACGACAAGAGACACGAGAAGAGGAAAGGCGTTTTAGGGAATATTTTCAAAAAGAAAAAGTAAATGAATATCTGATATTACAATGCAGTACTGTAGTTAGTAATAGTAAATTTAAATTGCTCGTGTATATTTTAACATCATTTTTTGGAAAGTATTTTTAAACAACTTTTGTAGCCGAAATTGTAAATACGCACGTTTTAGGTACAGAATATTTAAAGATAGAACTTTTTACTATTTAACAACAAAGACTATGTTTATACAACTGTGTAGTTATAAATAAAGGTATGAACTAGAAAACATGATCCCATTTTTTCACAGATGGTTATATTTTTTTAAAATTTAACTGAAAACCAACATATTGTTTCCCAGGATACTACTTCCACGACTTTTCCTCGCACGTCCCTGTTTTTCAGAGCATAATTTTGTATAGACAGGACTCCAAAAATGACCATTAGAAACTCGCCTTGATGCACCAAGGAAGCAAGGAATGATATTTGTTTGTCTGTTGGTTTTTTCCTTTATTTCGTAGTACTAAATCTCAACATCGCTATAACCAGTTTCCCTCTTCTCACCCCTAGAGTGGGAAAGAGACCCTAGGATGGAAGTTTTATAAATACGTTCATTACATCTCCATATAGAACTCTCACTGACCCGGTTTTCGCAACATATGTAACGATGCTAAAACTATGAGATTGGGAGAACTGAGGCGCTAAAAAACCACTTCGTCATTACAAATTTCAGTCAATATCTTTTGCCATGCTCTTTTAATCTGACAACTTTGTCAATGCGACCAACCCTATGGAGTCCACAGCCTTTTGTTTCCTCGTGAGATACGGCCATATTAAATACCGTGTTTTAATAATTACTCGAAATGTCAGTTGAGATCGCTGAAAAGAACAAATAACATTTCTTCACTGAAAGAATCTGGCGATTCTCTGACGGGGGACCAATGGACTCTGGTTATCGGGTAAGCGCCATATTATTTATTGAAGGGAACTCTATGTAGAGAACATGTTCACAGCTCAAGAAAAGTTTCGTTTGTTAAGTTCCTTTAGTCAATGATATTTCCTTTCACCATTGCTGTATCATGACTATGTCACGTGACTTTGTATCACGTGCATCGAGTAACATTTCCAATTGGTTACACCTGGCCAGACTTTGTCTGTTCAATCACATCTTGAAGCTTCGTTATTTCTTGCTGAAGTCTGTTTGTGAAAAGGTCAAGGAAAGTACACGATTAATCTGTTCTAACAACGCTAACTATTACATTTCCCATGCTAACCCGAGGCCACGAAGACCAAATGTGGCGTTGAATTTTTACTTTTGACCGCCGTGAGCGTTTTCCCGCCCTTAGCAGCGGTTACATGTTTTCCCGCCCTTGACAGGTTCATGGCACNAGCGGGCAAGATAGCTCCATCTTGCCCGCTCGGGTAGCCAATCACAGCGCAGGATTTGATTCATCTTGCCCGTTCACGGAGCTAGCCATATAATAAAGTCATATAATATTGAATAACGTGTTTTGATAACTACTCAAAATGTCAGTTGAGATCGCTGAAAAGAACAAATAACATTTCTTCACTGAAAGAATCTGGCGATTAAATAATTAGTTAAATTTATCACACTATTCATAGCATATCGTTTAATTTATATTACTCATATGGTTTGTTAGGCGCATTTGATCATATTCACATGTTAATTTGCGCCTTAGAAATATTAAATATTATTATTATTTATTTATTCTCTGAGGGGGGGTTCAATGGACTCTGGCTATCGGGTAAGCGCCATATTATTTATTGAAGGGACCTCTATGTAGAAAACATGTTCACAGTTCAAGAAAAGTTCCGTTTGTTAAGTTCCTTTAGTCAATGATATTTCCTCTCACCATTGCTGTATCATGACCATGTATCACGTGACTTTGTATCACGTGTATCGAGTGACATTTCCCATTGGTTACACCTGGCTGGACTTGGTCTGTTCAATCATATCTTGAAGCTTCGTTATTGCTTGCTGAAGTCTGTTTGTGAAAAGGTCAAGGAGAGTACACGATTAATCTGTTCTAACAACGCTAACTATTACATTTCCCATGCTAACCTGAGACCACGAAGACCGAAAGTGGCGTTGAATTTTTACTTTTGACCGCCGTGAGCGTTTTCCCGCCCTTAGCAGCGGTTACATGTTTTCCCGCCCTTGACAGGTTCATGGCACTAGTTGTATGCTTTTGCTTCATGTTCTGATTGGTGCATTGCACCTCACTGCTGATTGGCCACATATGATTACTCTGGTCAACTCGTTCCCAGGGTCTCTCATCCTATCTTCTCCTTGAGAGATCCTGGGAACGAGGTTGTGCTCTGGTTTAGTTTTGGTTTTACCACAATGAAATAAGAGCACTAGCTAGAGCAAGGAATATAAAGGATATCAGCTTCATCAAAATCTTCAACTTCCACAACTGCTTCCAACCTCCCCTCCAGTTCACTTAGTTTATCCAGGAGCTTTTCATAATCCTCTGCCTGTTCTTCAAAGATTTCGTCTTCTGATGACTTGAGAGGCTGAGAGGCCGCATCCTAACGGAATAACTGAAATCAGCTGACATGTTTTCAAATAAATACTTTGGAGCCATCTAAAACTTCCCAAAAAAGTTCCCAAACATTGTTATTTGGATCACTCTTGCGAGAAAATTGTCTTTACTGCGCCTTTCAATGACATGCGGACTCTAAAATTCAAAGCTCAACCGACAAATGCGTTTTTCGCTACCGTCAATCAAATGTTAGGAGGCTCCTCCCGGCTTCCGACAACCACCGAGCGCGCAGTAATCAAATCAAATCGTTGAGCACAGTTCAGACAACATAGTCGGAAGCTGGGAGGAGTCGCCGAACATTTGATTGACGGTAGCGAACGACGCATTTGTCGGTTGAGCTTTGTTATTGAAAGGCGCAGTAAGGATTTCCGACATCTCCTCACGGCAAAAAGAATGGATTGCAATTGATTAAATCGTACAGATTAAGTACTATGTTGAAAAATCTACAGCCATTAAGACTCACCGAATTCTCTTTGATGTCGTGAACTTGAGATTCCATTTGACTGTGATCTAGATCAGGCTTGGGAATATCATGTTTATTGCACAGGTCTGATACGAGGTTCTGAAAAGGAGAAATTACAGTGAAATGGCAGATTCACATTGAGTAATAAGTCTAGGAAACTTCGGGGTTTAGCTCCTAACCATCTTGCGATTCTAGTTTCAATCTTACCGGCTTCACATTATCAACTGCGTCGAAAGGGAAACGGAAATTTTACGTGTATTATATTAAATTGACATCTTGACATCTCCAACACTTACTCTGCAAGTTTTAGCCTCTGTCTCTAGTAATGCCTTCACAAGACTGTCATCACCGATTCTGTTTAGAATATGAAAAAGATAATGAAAACGAGTTGTGTTTATGAATTAATAGTTATAAAATGTAGGTAAAGTCTGCATACGAGCCAAGTGGCTCATCAGGTCAGCGCTTATCCCGGTTTCAGTAGCATGAAGCGACTAGGAGTATTTCTACTCCCCTCTGGATGGGGTGGAGAGAGACACTGTGAGAGTAAAGTGTCTTCCCAAGAACACAAAACAATGTCCCCAGCCAGGGCTCCAATCCGAACCTCTTGATCCTGAAGCAAGCGCACTAACCATGAGGCCACCGCCCCTCCACAAAACGTGGAGAAATACAAACTCTGTTCAAAACCGTACTAATCTCTATGCATGCTATTAAACGACAAGGGCAATAACTCGTTTTACCTGTTTATTTGTTCCTGAAGTACTTGAATCACAGCGGATGCCTTCTCTACAGTAACCACAGCTAACGAGAGACGATAAGATAAGCTTACAAGAACGTTCGAAGTACAAGCTAACTACAAGCAGTCTTGAGCTAGAGAAAGAAAACGCCACATTATCTACCTATGTAAATACTCGATGACTTGCGTAAAAATTGGAGAATATTCAAATACGATAAAGACACCTGATGGTTACCACTCAAATGAGAGCGAAGATTTCGACTCCAGCCAACTCTCAGCTGAAACTTGCCGTTATTTAGGCGGCAAGAAAGCGAGAAAGTTAAAACCTTACCTGTAAGACGATCCTTTTCGCCAATCTCTGCTTCTAGCTCTGCGCTCTCTTGTTGTGCTTTCTCCAACGACTTCTTATCTTCTGCAAGTTCCTTTAACAACCGTTCAAGTTTTTCTTGACTTTTAATTCCCTCTTGATTTAGTGCGTCTCTTTCCTCTTTTAACCGTTTAGCTTGTTTGAAATTTTTTTCTAAACAGCAAAAGTAAACTTAGTTAAAGGCGATACCTCCGTGAAATGAAAAGCTTTTAGTTAAATTTGACACGTGATTGCCTTGCTTTTGCGTTTCCAGAGCTTCACAAAAACACGCAAAACGCGATGTTCTGGCTAGGACCAATCACAAAGCAGCACGAAACAAAACAGTCGTGATCTTCGTTAAGGTTACGTGAGTTTTCCGGCGCTTTGCGCTGGTAACATGTTCTTCCGCGCTTGACCCTGTCACGATTTTATCGCTTCCCGCGCTTTTACGCAGTTACATCTTTTCCCGCGCCAAGCACCAGCGATGTGTTTTCGCCTTGAGTTCTGATTGGTTCATTGCATTTCCGCTGTAACTATTTTTTAATTTTCCGTTTTGAGAAGTCTTCCTCCATTTAACCTTCACTTTACGTTCATATTGATTACCTTTCTTTGCTATTTCCTTGGCTGCGTCCAGATCAGATATCTGAGACTCGACCTCACTCAAAGTTTTTCTGAGTGTCGCCACGCCTCTTTGTCCCAGCTGGATCTTGTTTGATAGGCTCGTGATTTTCTGGGACACTTCCTTCTGCTTAACATGAAGACTAAGTGAAGGGATAGAGCGATTTTCAATTGAGTCTCGTAAAACCAAAACCAAAACAACTCAGCTAATCTGAAACCGTATATTAAAACCAACAGCAAAGTAATTGCCTGATTACTTTCGACACCCAATTTAAAACCTCTAAGGACTATTTCCACTATAAATTACAATATTTAGAGAGGAAGCTAGAGGAAGTTTTCACACGGGTCCTCTATCCTGGCCGAATTGCAATTTGGAAATGTTGGTTTTTGTGGAGGGAGGAAAACCGGAGAACCCGGAGAAAAACCCTCGGAGCAAGGCGA